AAATTGCATGCCTACGTATATCTTTTGCTGTCATTCATTGTCACGGCAGTGTGTACTGGTCTCGCTACTGTAGAGTGTTCAGTACTGACTAGAAAACAGCTTCTCAGACTGTTGGGGATTTTTTGCCAGTACATTAATAATTCAGTAGACTTGTCTCATTTGCAAATGCTTGATGAAACTCTTAGACCTTCATCCTTTTAAATAAGGCTTACTCTTAGCTTGCATTGTACTTATCAAAGTACTTCTTGATATTCCTGTGGCACTGGCTGACTACTGGAAATATCCTACCATTCTCACCTCATTCATCCCATGCTGTTGGGCTTCAGGATCTTACCAAGTTATTATAGAGAGCAAGACTCTTAGATGGCTTTGTCTTATTTTAGCTGCAATTAAAAGCTGGTGCTATTTGGTGATTAATTTCAAATTTAATAGCACTTATTTTTATCCAATACTAAGCTTAATGTCAGAGCTGCATAGTCTTTTAATGAAACTACATAAGCTTGCCAAATGTAATTATAGCTGACATTTCTGTGAACAAAATGTAGACAGCCTACAATTTTAAAATGACCGAACTAAATAGAAAAAATAATTGCAAGAAAAGGGGGATTTGTTGTATGGTTTTGTTTAAACTCCCTCTTCTGTGTCTCCTAGCTTTTTAGTTGGTGAAGGAGCTTACAGATGGGCAGTTGATCACGGGATACCAGCATGTCCTCCAGGTATCATGGCTACAAGTGAGTAAACTGGTGGTGTCAGTAGGAAGAACAGGACAGAGTAATTTTAAATAGTGCCTCGTATTTTGAGGTGTGCATCACTTCCCTGTTCTTAACATTCAACTAGCTTATGGTGTTATGGTATGAAAGGATGGTTTAAGTTTACTGATTTGCTACTAAGTAAATAGAAAAGAGTATAAGCTATTACTTCAGCTGTGTTTTAGCAACGTCTCATTCAAGTGAATTTGCGCTTCTAGGATTAAATCCAATGAAAGTCTCTTTAGCAAAATGTAGGCTCTTTAACAGCTCAGTCCTGCGAGTCTGCAGTTGTGGTCCATCTTGAACTCTAAAAGCACCAACCAGCCATGGATCTAAATTCAGCAGGTGCCAGTTTGACTCTCAGATTCCACAGTTACACCCATCTCTGAGCCTTTGTCCAGAACTGCTGTGGTCTACACGAGGTTTTGGGTTTTTGTTTGTTTGTTTGTTTGTTTTTCCCTTAACCTAGGAAGGCTTTATTTCATCAGATATAGTGGGATAACCCAGCCCAGCAAATGGACTTGGATTATACCGTATGCTACTAGTAGCCAGGTCTCTTACAAAGGCTTTTCTTCTTAAACTGAAAGAAGTGATTATGTTGTATTCATGCACCATCTATAAACTAGGCTAGAAATTAGTGAACTTGCCATGGAAAGGAGGATGTAGATCCCCTTCCTTCCCTTCTTTAGTCCCCTTCCCCTTTGGCAGTTGCCACTGCTAGTAGTCTGTAGTTGGCTAGAGGTGAGAGCATGCCCTGTGCTTCCTGC